AACTCTAGTCGGGATAAGCTTAAATGAGAAGCCAGGTTTGTAGGAAGATGCAGTAGGTGCTGTTAATATACTGAGATAAGCTTTAAGATAATGAAAACCTTATGTGCTAAAAAAATTACCCTCTTTTTCAGTTATAACAGTTTAATAGGCAGTACTATTCCAACTATGAAGCATGCAACAGACAGATCATTTATAAAAATAGATTATTAATTAACCTAAAACATGTTTTGCATTTACAGAACTCTTTATCTCCCTGAAAATTTGGTGAAGCTTTAAAAACGCAGGCCAAACAATTTACCCATATTCAGTTCTCCCACTTCACACTGACCCATAAAAGGTTCAGCCTGAAGAAAGTTTGGTCCCGAGTCCACAGAGTATCATACATCATAGCTATTATTCATAATATCATGCAGTCCTGAGAAAAGGTTGCTAACTTTTGTTCAATTAACCTAAAATATATATGAACAAAGAGCAGGCTGGTACTAAGTGTAAGGCTTTAATCTAAAGATTGTTTAATTCAATTCCAACGAATTTTCAATTGACTTTAATGGAATTTGGATTTACTTTCTCTGGGCAGGCATACATGTAGAAGATCGTGAGCACGAAACTCTTCAATAAACTTACTCTTACATGTAAGCTATCTGGAAATCTAACTCCATTTGGAAGTCTAAGTTTATGTCTTTAATATCACTTATGCTTATACACGTTTTTCTGTATGGTAACAGAGAAACCTCCTGCACAATGAATGATGCATTAGTATCGATCTACTAATATATGAAATAGTATTTTCATAATCAAGTACTTTTAGATTATCTGCTTTTGTTGCTCATATTCAAATTCTTGAAAATATGGTAAAAGAGATGAAAATTTCAGGTTCATATAGCTTTAGAATAAATCTATATTTATGCTAAAACATCTAGGCCTTCCAGTCAAGCAATGCTTGGACTACTACATACTCCTTATTTTGTACTGCTTCTCAGGACAGAATAATCTTGGGAGCTATTATCCCCGAGACAGAATTATTTGGATGTTCTTTACAACTTTAGAGAGCAGTATAATGCATGATAGAAGTATTTTAGCACAACTGACAAAATGTGTAGGCTGCAAAAGTATGTTGAAAAATGTTTATAACTGTTTAAAAAAACCTCAAACTCTTAAATGGATTATGGTACAGCATTAATGAGGATGTGTGATAATCAGGAAGGATCATGATGATTTGGGTGATAGTACTGTCTAAAAAGGTCATGGATTGCATTGGACTTCAAGTATTTTACACTTAAATTACTTTCAGCAAATAATGATTGTTAATCATTCTTTCAAAGTAATCTGGTAAATTCAGATTAATGACAATGGGAAACATTTTGCATTCCATTATAATTACATCTGTAATACAAATTTATATTTTTACCATTATTTGAGGGTTTTCATCACCCTGTGTTCTAAAATAAAGTTTCAATATCCATTGTTGGGGAGAAGTACATGAGTATATAAGAGTATGAGTAAACTGTAATAACATGTTGACAAACATTTCATTAGTGCTACTAAAACTGAATAGAGGACTGTGTAATCAAAAAAGAACAATAAATAGTATTAAATATGGAAAACATGGATCATACACTCTGTTACTGAAGGTAAAGTGGCATAAAATAAAAGAGCAAAGTTGATGTTATATGCATTTTCTATTTATTCATTTGTTTATGATTGACTGATATAGAACAAAGAGTTTCCAAGTAAAAATGCTTATGTACGGACATGCAATGACTCTGAAATCTGTACCTTAAGGACAAAGAAAGGTCGCCAATCTCTCCAACTCCTAGTTCTTTGTCAAAAATGGACACAGTTAATGAGGTTTTTTTGGTACAGCACAAATTCTCAGACACAGATAGAGATCCTTTCAATGGAAACAAATTTGTTTGGCTTTGCCAGGTTACTTAGCGATTAATAATAGCCTTGAGATGCAGGTCAGAAAGGTCATCGTCCCTGCTTGCCAACACAATCTAAAATGTACAGCTAGTCTGGCTCTGCAGGCTTTGAGGCCCCGGAATGCTATGCATAAAGTAAAACAGGCTATTTTCCAACTTCTTTTTTCATATTAATAAGCAATTTTCAAGAGAAGGGTGGCAAAATGGGGGCCATGCCACTCTAAGTAATTCATTTATTTTGCAATTTAATCTTATGTTGGAAAAAAATTACACTGCTGCAAAAGCATAGCATGGTGATTTTTAAACGTCAATGTGCTTCGTAAGTAACCTTGTATGAAATATTGTATTAGCAGCCTTTAACAGTAAACTGCAACAAAAAATATTTCCAGAGATTGAAACAGACCTATACATCTTTTCTGATCTTTAATTTATTTCCCTTTCATTCTATTTTTTTCTTTTACATTTGAAATAAAACATTAGATTACTTAATATTTTGCTTATTTTAGTTGATAAAAACTTGAAAGATAACATGAAACAAATAAAAACTCTACATTGCAACTCATATTTAAGAATGTGTTTTCACAGTGTTCATATTTATAAAACAATTATTACTCTTTCACATATTTTGATGGACTAATTTAACATTATGACAATTAAAATATTAAGAATAAGTCTGAGTCACAATCTTAAAAACACTTTCAGGAGCAGTATGACTTTCCCATGGGATTATTCATATTAGCAATCTTATTCATGTGCATATTTTAACATCTGTTTAACATTTTTGTCGGCGACATGGACAGTGGGATTGAGTGCACCCTCAGCAAGTTTGCCGACGACACCAAGCTGTGTGGTTCGGTCGGCACACTGGAGGGATGGGATGCCATCCAGAGGGACCTTGACAGGCTTGAGAGGTGGGCCTGTGCTAACCTCATGAAGTTCAACAAGACCAAATGCAAGGTCCTGTACCCGGGTTGGGGCAACCCCAAGCACAAATGCAGGCTGGGTGAAGAATGGATCAAGAACAGCCCCTGAGGAGAACTTTGGGGTGCTGGTGGATTAGAAGCTCAATATCAGCTAGCAATGTGAGCTTGCAGCCAAGAAGGCCAAACGTATCCTGTGCTGCATCAAGAGAAGCGTGGCCAACAGGTTGAGGGAGGTAATTCTGCCCTTCTACTCCACTCTCTTGAGACCCCACCTGGAGTACTGTGTCTGACTCTGGAGCCCTCAACATGAGAAAGATATGGACCTGTTAGAACAAGTCCAGAGGGGGGCCACGAGGATGATCAGAGGGCTGGAGCACCTCTCCTGTGAGGACAGGCTGAGAGAGTTGGGGTTGTTCAGTCTGGAGAAGAGAAGGCTCTGGAGAGACCTTATAGCAACCTTCCAGTACCTGAAGGGGCTACAGGAAGGATTGAGAGGGACTTTTTATAAGGGCAGTTAGTGATGGAACAAAGGGAAATGGTTATAAACTGGAAGAGATTTAGATGAAATATTAGGAAGAAATTCTTACCTGTGAGGGTGGTGAGACACTGGAACAGGTTGCCCAGAGAAGCTGTGGATGCCCCCTCCCTGGAAGTGCTCAAGGCCAGGTTGGATGAGGCTTTGAGCAACCTGGTCTAGTGGAAGGTGTCCCTGCTGATGGCAGGGGGGTTGGAACTAGATGATCTTTAAGGTCCCTTCCAACCCATACCATTCTATGATTCTGTGATATTTTGACAGGATTTGACCGTTGTCCTAGAGTCTGTTAGTTGGTACTCATTGAGACAACTGAGACTATTGATGTGGACCTGTCTAAATACTCTGTTTTGCTGGAATATTTGAATTACCCAGATATGTGAATAGTATATTTTTCTTTACTTTTTATTTTATTCTATACTCATATGCCTAAAAAACTAAAGTTTACTAACTTAATTAACATTTAAACAATCTAAATGCTTGACTCAATATGCTTGCTGTCTTTGGCACACAGGTTAATTTGAACTAGCCATTTCTTAATAACAAATATAACAAATGTTAATCAAACTAACCTTTTTTAACTGCGTTGGAAAAATTCCATACACATGCACTGTGCACAATAGCATGGAATTTGTTTCTTATAGAACATTAATTCACTCCACTGTTTGCATAATTTATGGCAAGCCTGGCTCCATAAAAAAAAAAAAAAGCCATTGAGGAGAAAGCCTACACCCATTTTCTGTTAAAGTTTTCCTCTAAACATTCTGTTAAAATAATGACTTTTCTCCATTCTTCAAGAGCTGGAATTAGGTACAGTTCTTTATTGCTTTTATGATGGAAGAATTTTCTGTGACCTATTGAGTACACGGACCCATCCATTTAGGTGACACTGTGTGTCTGCAAACTTTTGTCATGCAGTGGTTCACGAGGCAGTTACGTTCCTGTTTCTTGTGGTGGCCTCTACCGGTGCTTTCAGACTAGAAGAGAAAGTGACCTGTGCAAGAAGCCTAATGCTGTGGAAATTCCTCTTAAGGACATTGCACACATAAAGGGTTTATATCCAGTTCTTCTTTACCCCTACGTCCTCAACCTTACAAAAGACTTAAGGATCTAGCAGTGAATGTCAGCTCTTATCCTGTGTCTGCTGTCCTCTCTCATTCCATAAAGTCTCCCTTGTTTACAGATCAGCGAGGTGCAGTGAGGCAGCAGCTGAAACATGTGAACATTTATTTTTAAATCATTTGATGGAAAATCACTAAATTATAACAACTTCTGCTTAGAGAAATTAAAACCAAAATGACTCTTAAAGACAAAAAAGGACATCTATGAATACTGTTTTATCAAGCTATAAAAATACAAAGATTGACATACTCTTCAAAAGAGTAGTATGAACTAATATGCTGTTCATAGTTTTTATAATTTTAATCCTATTTCTTCATAGTTATATCCATATAGAATCTTGCTGCTGTAGAACTGAATGAACTGTAATTTAACATTCAAGTGGTGTCAATATACTGCTAATACATAATAGTGGAATGCTGTGAAGCTACAGAAGGGTTAAAGTGAAATAAAACATTAGCACACCTTTTTTGTAATATAATTAGCAGACTTATTTTATTACAGGAATGAACTCCAAGAGTATGCAGAAATGAAAGAAAATGAAGAGAAAGAGAAAGACCTAGAAAAGAAAGAAAAGGAAAAGAAATACCAAGCCCGAAAGATGCATTACCTCCTTAGCACTGAGCAGGTTGGTAGACCTGTCCCTGACAGCTCATGCAAACCACTTGGGCCCCCATCCTGACAGAGATAAACTAGCAGGCTGAATGGGACATGACTTGTTGAAAAGATATCGCAAAGACACTACTTCGAGTTCAATTTAGTGCTTTTCTATAGGCAAGAGCAGGTACCATGACTATTCTGTGACAGCAGCTTCATAGAGGCAGCATCAGCACTGCTGGCAGAAAGAGTCCAAGTCAGCAGTTTGATCTGCCACTGTGATAACACAACACGAAGGGCATAACCTCGCTTTAAAAACTCATTTTGACTGGCTTATTGTTGTGTTGTTGCACTTGTCAAGAACTAACAAGTTATTAAGCTGAGAAGGGATTTCATTTTTTTTCCCTTTTTTTTAATTGAGCTAATGCTTGTGTTGGTGCTGTGTTCTGCTTGTTTTTAGGACAGACTGTAAATGCAGGTTTTCAGCTAAATCTTTTCCTAGAACTGCCTGAATCAGCTTATTTAGCATGATTGTTTTCACATAGAAATGCCTCATAAATTTTAAATATTTACTGGTTAATTTGTTTTGTATTGATAGAAGTGGTATATTTTTTCAAGCTTTCTTATGTAAGCTGCTTTATAGACAGGTGAATATGGCAGTAGATATACCTTTTACAAAATTGATATGGTTGGTAATGCTTGTGGGTTTGCCTTTTTTAGTCCCCTTTTGTGAACTTTTGTAAAAAAAAGTAGATTTTTTTTTGTCCATAAATGCTTTGTGACTGGTTGTTATTTATATGAATGAGGAATTAACATGCAGTGAGGGTATGCTAGTATGAACTAAGTGCTTGCTTTTCTTAGGTTGTTAATTATAATCTGTGTGTAAGAACTGTTAATCCTAAACAGTGCAGGAAAAATACTATGACATTTAGTGACAGCATATTTAATCTTTCTCTCTGTTTGGGAATCATTTGTGATCTATCTAATAAATACAAATATAGTTTAATTAACTGGATATCAATTATGAAAACTCAATTTGTAAATACAATTTAAGTAATTTTATTTGGAAAAAAAATAGCATAGTAAAATATTAATAAAAAATAGCATTGAAAGTTTTCTGAGCTTCTTTTAGACAGGGGAGCTAGTTAATAACTGAAATTAGCTCACAATAATAGATTCATCCAGATGTAGACCTAGAATGTTAAGAATAATTTGCACAATCTTTTAATATTTTTTTAAACTGTGCAAAATTGTGAATTCTTATTTTGAACAGAAAAATTTATATAAACAAATGCATAATTACCTGGAGTACAAAAATTGTCTGGTTGGAGACATTGAGTGAGCTGTGGTCTAAAAAGATTTTAGTAAACTTAGTTCACTTCTGATGATACTGGCTTAGCAAACTGTAACACATTTTTAAGGAATGGCAAGTAGTTCTTTATTTCAGCAATCCACCTGGAGGACTGCTGGTAGAGGGCAGCAGTAACTATTATGTTCTGATGAATTTGGGTTCCTAATTTTACAGAATTGGAATTTAGCTAGCAGTGTTTTACAGAACAAAAATATACTTGTTTTTGCTTGCTGAGATTGTTTGTGAATCCTGGGACTCAGAGCTCACAGAATTTTTCCTTTATTGCAGAACTGTGCTCCAGGAACCATCTTATTTTGCAGGCAATATTTCAGAACATGAATGAGTGTAAATCAATGCAACACCTATAGACAACCTGAAAACTAACAAAAATATATGTGAAGTAAACTACTTATTGCAATCAAAGACCATATTGCACAACTGCATGTAGTTATAGAATTTGGTATCTTGCTAAGATACCGGGCAAATTATTTCAGTGCAGAATTTACTGGTTTGGTGCTCTGTGTCTGACATTTTAATCTCTATATGCCTGGTCTTCTGACCTGACTACAGCTGCATCTTGCTGTCTTCAAAGGATAGTTAACTGGATTACTAAGTAAGGTCCGTTCATGTCTTAGTAGAACCAGGCAGCAAGAGTCAATACTTCGGAGTGAGTTAAAGAAAAAACACTATTTGTAAGCAGGGAGTATAGCAAATAAGAGGTTGATAAGCTGGGCTTGTCATAGATTTGTGTATTAGCTAAAGCCCAATGAGTTGTAGAGATGATCTGCTGAAGTTTACTACAATCTCCTCGCCTTCCTGCCACACATAATAAGGAGCAATAGTGGAGCTGAGCCAGCTCATGCGTTAAGGCTGCAGATATTCAGGCAGGTTATATGGACAGCATTGCAATATCTGTATTTGCAATAATTGTTTCAAATGTATCCTATAGATTTGAATATTTTTATTACAGACAAAAAGGGTGATAAAAGCATGTTTACTTATTGACAGAAAGGAATAAAAGAGTTGTTGCTCCTCAATTTTAGTAAATAAAGGCATGTCAGGTTATATTTTCTACTCCCTACAAGCTGGAGCTCAGAAGCCCATCTCAGAAGTGTGTTACAGGTTAAACAGGGGGATGTTCAAACATTGTAGCATTGCACAATGTTGCAGGTGATACAGTGATCCTTTCTGGCCTTAAAGTCTCCGAGTCCTTCATTGAATGCAGAACTTGCTCTTCTTACTCTGCAGATTTATATATATATATATATATAAGATTGTGCCCATTCCTAATTGCTAGCATTATTTTACATCTCAGAAAGTAAAACTTAAGAATGTTAGTGTCATGCATGTACATGGATGTCTAGTATGTATATAATAGCATGGCCTATGATGAAGTCAACGTTTTCTCTTTTTCATGAATTAACTTGCTATTCAAGTATTTATTTCTTCCATAAACTATTACCTTTATAAAGAAAAAAAAAAAAAGAGGAAGAAATGGATATCAAACTCTGAATTAGTATGCGTTATTTGCTGTTACTGGTTCCAGGTATATACATATAGTCTTATACAGACAGATGTGAGCTTGCTTTGATTACTTTCCAAGCCAATCTGGAGCTATAACATGGGGCTGAAACCAAACTAATTAGCCCTGTTGAGAGCCACGGTATATTAGCTCAAGAATTAATGCAGTTACACAGCTTCTGGTTAGCTCAAAATATGGGCAGAATAAGTGTGTGCATGCTTTAGACTCAGGAACATGGAGTTTGATCTGCCTACAAAATATTATATAGGCATACCTACATTTAAGTTGTTTTGTCTGCAGTTCTCCCTCTTTTTTGGGGGGGCGGAAGTGTGTATTGAGTACCATTGCTATGAGATTGACATTCAGGGAAATCATTAAGTAATAAAAAATGTATTGTATTTACAATTTTCCTATATATTTTACAAAAAATTGACTGAGTGTATTTCATCATAGAAACTTACTCAAATAAGATTTTTTCCCATTGCTACTTGTATAAATACATTGCATTTACTCAAACATTTTAATCTGCATAAGAACTAAGCAGTTAATTTGAATAAAAGATTTTTAGTATTTTAGCAAAGAAGTTTAAAGAAAAGAAAGTTAAACAGGTCAGACTATTTGCATAATCAATAGTTACTAACAGTAGTAATGTTAATTTGCTGTTATTAATAATATATATTAATAATATAATTATTGACTGTCTTTCTCTGGGAGTACAATGTTAGGCATGCTGTCAACTTCAAAACACAGTTTTTTGCTTTACTAAAAAACAACTACGTATTTTTTTTCTGCAGTACCAGTAATACCCATGCAACACACATCTAACCCAACCCAAATATAAGGCATAAGAGTGGGCTAAAAAAAAGAATGTAAATTTTTATTTGAGTTAGTTAAGTTAGTTGCCAAATAATGTCTGGAGAAATAAAGCATGTGCTCTAAAACTTCATGGTTATGAAACACTGAGCTTTTAATCTACTTGCTATATATACCAGTAGTATCAATAACTAGTCAAGCAACACCTTACACACATAAGCTTCTTTTGTTTGAAGGAAATTTCTCCTGCGTGATTTCTGTAATTATAAAAAAATCCCCAACAGTCAAGTCCATGCCCTTGTCATCACGTGATGACTTATGTTGTCTACTCCACCTACTGGTTGCTTGTTGCAAGAGATTCCAGTGTAAATGTAGCAAGAAATAAATCTGTGAGGTGGCAGCTGTGGGGCTTCCAAACTAAATTCCATTTTAAAAATACGACTCTATATTCCAGATTTTAAAATTTATGTATATATTACTTTTTACTTGGCTGTTTTTACCTTAACAGTCTGATAAATTCTGACTTCATGATGAACATGATAAAAAGTGCGGTACACATTTAACAAGCCTTTGCCTTTGTTAAGAATATTTCTTGCCATTTCTTATTGGTAACACGATAGAAATAACAGTGCAGATATATTTTTCATTGTTTTTATCCATTTTTTCATGAACTGCATTGTAAGTTCTTAATGAGACATGAAACTTATAATAATTAAGATTTTCTTACTAGTCTGTAATCACACTATGCTATTTCCACTACAGTGGTAATGATCCTGTTTTTAGTTGTCAATAATAAATTAATTACTTTTAGAATGTGGTTTTCTATTATAAACATGTTTACCTATGTAGGTTATCCTTCTATATCCCTGTAGTTCCCTGTTCTGTATTAACAAAATTCACTATAATTGAATAGATTCTTACTTCTGCTTTTTGTTATATTTGCAAGTCCGGCCTTCATAGAAAGGACCATCCTTTGCAAAGTGCTGATAAACCACCTTTAAAGTCAATGAAAGATAGAAATGCTGAATACATTGATGGCCCTTTGTAGAAGTGGATATGAAAAGACCACATTTATTGAAGCATGTGGTTGCATGATTCCTGTCATTGGTATTTTCAACTTTCCAACAAATTTTGCAGTTGGTCTTTGTCTTAGAATGATGTTTAGAATTAGAAATATAATAGACTAAATCCAAAGATCAAGTATCAGGCTAGATTGCCGACCTGTATTGTTTAAGTATCTGCTGACAGAGCAAGCAGCAATGCTGAGGTGAGTCTGTGAGTGGGAGCAAGTGTGTCAGCTGCTGCTAGCACTACTGTTGCTACCCAGATGGAGGACCTGCAAGTC